CTCTGTTCCATCTTCTAACCTTGAGTGAGCTCTCACTATTGTAGGTTCATCAACTACCACAATTGTTAAAATGGATATGGAAAATGGTCAAGTTCAATCAGCTACTGTTACTGTTAATCAGCAACAACAATACTCGAATCCCATAGATTCAGACATTCCTACTCCAAGTAGTGTTGTTAATGGAGATGAGAATGCACTTCCTTCACCACAAGGATTCGATACTATTAAACAACCGACTGCTGATGAATCAGATAATAATGTAAAAGAGAGCAACGGTAAGCAAATTTGTTCATTCATTTGATTTTTGTAAAGTCCCACATCCCATCCACCTCTATATCTGTTGGAGTCTACCCTTTCTCCATCATAAGGGTTTTTTATGAGAGAAAATCAAAGACTCCACATTTAAGGTGGAACAATTACACTGACATGACAAGTAGTTGTACTACTGTGTTGTGTTTAGACTTTTGACGATTGATGCTAATGGAACAAGAACTGCAATTTGTTTCCTACCAAAAAATGCCTAAACATGAATTTTGTAAGATCACATACCACCAATGGTAACATGGATATGGAAAAAGATCAAATCAACTCAGCTACTCCAAGTGTTAATAGAGATTACAATGCATCTTCAGCACAAGGATCTAATACATTTAAACAACCAATTGCTGATGAATCAGATAATAATGTTATAGAGAGCAACGGTAAGCAAATTTGTTCATATATATATAGAAAATTTACAAAAAAGAGGAAATTAAACTTTTCAAATTGATTAGAATTATTTTTGTTTCCCTGCAATTTTTTCCCTACAACAGATTCCCAATTAGCAGACAACACAGATGGCGATCAGCTAGTTACATCTTACCATACAGAGTTCAACAGCCAAAGTGATTACCCTGGAATGTTTGTAGTGAAGCCACCACTCAATCATGCGGAACCTGAACAAGATTTTGTTTTTTCACATCATCCTGATGGATTAACGCTTCATGTTCCTCCAAACATCGGATCTTTAATCATCGACAATTCACAAATGAACCAAGTGCTTGATGTCACCATTCAAAACAACAGTCCAGGTAATTATTAACCAAATCAATCATATGATGATTTTTTGTCTCAAATCGATGTAAAATTGTCATTGTTTTAGATCTTGAAATCGGGAGTCGTGCTGTGGAGCAAGGTGGTGAAACGGCGGCAACAAGTGGTCGGAGTTTGGACATTGTTAAAAGCATTGTCTACGGTGGGCTTTTAGAAGTAATCGCAAGTCTAAGTGTTGTGGCTTCTGCAGTTGGTGCTGATGCTTCCACATGTAAGCAAAGCGAAAAAGCAAGCAATGCATTTCCTGTTTCCTGTTTGGAATTATCAATTACTTTATATATTGTTTATTGTTGCTTGCAATGCAGTGAATGTGTTGGCATTGGGATTGGCCAACATATTTGGCGGATTGCTGGTGATTAGTCATGATGTAAGTAATAATAAGTTGCTCGCATATTAGTGTGTGTGTTATTTTGCTGTGATGCTGTTTGTTAATTTACAAATTACAATTACAATTACAGCTTTGGGACCTGAAAAACGAAGGCAGAGGATCTTCTCCTTCAGAAGAGGATCGATACCAGCAACTTTTGGGGCGAAGAGTGGATTTCCCGCTTCACGTGTTGGTTTCTCTGTTATCGTACCTTGTATTTGGGTTCCTTCCACCGGTTGTATACGGGTTCTCATTCCGTGAGAGCAACGACAAAGATTTCAAGCTTCTGACGGTGGCTGCCGCTTCGATTGTGTGCATCATGATACTGGCGGCCGGAAAAGCGTATGTGCAGAGCCTCAACAGGTCTTATATCAAGACTATTTCCTACTACATGGCGTTTGGGTTTGCGGTGTCGGGTGTTTCTTATTTGTTTGGTGGGTTGATTATGGAGTTGTTGGATACGATCGGTTTATTCCCACCGGCTTCGGGTCCAGTTTTGAACCCGAGTTTTCCTTTTCATGGAGCGGGTGCAGACCCGACCCTACTTGCAACGTATTAGTCAATATTCTGGAAGGGAGTGGGAGGGATTTTTATGATTTTCTAGTTTTGACTTTGAGTTATAGCTTGGAACTAGGTGAATTTTGTTGCTCTCTATTTTGTGCCTGAGGTTTGAGGTTTTGCATTGCACATCATTTAAATGTGTGTAAGTTTTTAAAAGTAATAAACTCATAAAATGACACATCTAAATAAAAAAAATATGCTACCTAATAATTTTGTTATAATAGGTGCTTTTTCTTTAAAGTAACTTTTTGATTAGGAACTTTATGTGAAAATAAACAGTTTTAAGGATGGTATTCTCAAACAAAAGAAAATTTTTTTTCTTTAATTTCAGGTTTTCTTAAAAGCTCTAAAAAAAAGGTGTTGTCAAACATGGCCTTCATGTTACCATTTATGTCTTAACTAATAAGTTTAACTCAGGTTTACATTGAAGTAGAGGTAACCTATTATTATACCATAAAATTTTGAATTTCAACTACTTGATAGTTGATATACCTTGTTCTTTTGCAGTTTTGTTGTTGTTATGCAAGATAGGATATGACAAACTTATTACAGTATTTGGAATGTATTTTACTAGAACTTCAATCGCTTTCAATTTGGTTTGTGTTTGTGTAAAATACTTGAATGCACTTCCATCGTCACCATAAAAAACAAAATAGCCCTAGAAAGCTTTCCCAGTATAACAACACAAAACCATAAGTGGAATTCGATTAAACCAAAACAGGAATAGGAAGTAAAGGTCACCACAAAACTTGATAAAATTGAAGTTTCAAGTGAAATTATTGAATAAAGATTTGACCCATGAAAAGTCAAGTCAAAATCAGTATCTTTTTAACACATCAAGATGAATGAATTATGGTGATGTTGAGGTAGGTAGCTAAAGCTAACTAGCTGAATTTCCTTCCTGTCAACTCCTCTGCTTCATATAATATGTGATTTATAAGTCCTCTTGCTGCACTGCAAAATGCAAATACACAAAAATCAAAAAAGTTTCTTCTAAAACTGACACAAGTCTAACACCAAAACAATCAAATATAAAACTATACATAGTTTATAAATTGAAATTTTAGTCTAGATCATCAAAGAAAAAGGACTTGTGTAAATATTTGCTAATCATAAGGAGAGCATAATTAGGGTGAAATATGGAATACATTTTGTCATTATAAAACCTTCGTGTTGTAACTATTAATGAATTTAACACACACCTCTCTGTAGTCTATACATATAGTATCTTTGTAATTTATGTTAATATGAGAATATTACATAAAAAATAAAATTAGTGTGTTTTCTGTTTGAATATGTTGAAATTTTTCAGCCATCATGTTTGATCTTTTTGTCTGTTAAATGAATACTCCTTTTTACTTGACATTGCCTCTAGAACAAAGGGTAAAAATGGTGATTTAGATTCATCAAGTCCAAAAAAGAAATGGTCTTTATTCATACAACACTACACAGAACACATTTATCCATACAGCACTTGATTGGAAATTTAAGAAACAGGCCCTCAATCTGTAACTTCCTGGAAAACTTTAATACTAAGTATATATTTTTTTTAAATACTCGGTTGCTTGTGGAAAGTATATAAGCCCCAAAGACCAAAGAAAAAAAAAAAGCAATTCGTAAGGATTGATGAGTTCTCAACCTAAATACTTTATATATTTGAACATGTGCATAAAGATATGTCTAAAAAAAAAAAAAAACTTACTCATCTTTGAGCTTTTGAATCCTCTCTGGGTCTGTTTCATGCATGTGCTTTCTGAATTGCTGCCTCACCATTTGAACAACAAGCTCCGTGTTATGTTGCTACAGTTTCAAGGGAATGGAGTACATGATCAAACTTCAACACATGAAAAAAAAATGTTTGAAAACCTATCACACACATACCTTATGACCAACGTACTTTGCTCTACGTAGACATTCACGATATAGCTGTAAATCAGAAAAATAAATAAATACTATCAGAATCTATGATATAACAGTGTGTGTGTGTGTGTGTGAGAGAGAGAGAGAGAGAGTAACCCTAATGGCATTGTTGGCAAGTTCAGGAGGTAGTGCTGTTTGAAGAGAAGGCATTTTGTTATAAAATCTCTTCCAACTGGAGCTGTTGATTTCAACATGATCAAAGCATAAAGTATAAGTTAATCACATTATTAAGAAAGAGAACAATGTGAGTAACCCTAATCACATTATACACACTCGATCTGAAATTGAAAACATTCTACCCGATTAACAAACCCTCCCGATTAGAAATAAAGAAACAATAATAAACAACTAAATAACTGATTAAAAGCAATCAACAAATACCAACAGATTTCGAAAAATTTGCAAAAATACCTAAAATTTTGAAATCCCTTTACCGGGCAAAGGCCAGAGCTGGGGGAGTGAGGGCTGTTTGGCAGGAGATCTGAATCAGTTAGAGGATCTAAATGAAAACATATTGTTTGGTTACACATCTTAATGGTTGTGCTAAATGATAAAAATGACCATTTTACCCTTATGAACGAACTATTTTCTGTTGTATAAAATATTCAAATCAACTGGCTGAATAATTACAAAAAAATACAGTATAAAACATCATACAAAATTACCATCCTTTCGATAATCTTTTCATCTTTTGACCAAAAATCACATAATAAAATTTCTATTGCAAAATTACACAGATTACCATCCAACAATTCGTATGACAATTCTCATATCATTGATAAGATCATATGACACTAATGAAAAAGTAATTGAATTACATTTTCCAGCTATTATATTAGGCTAGCCAATAAAAAGGAATGAAGACAAATAGATGTGCAAGGTCAAAGAGGTCCAACTTCAATATCAATACCAATGCTAACTATGTACATAGAATCAAAACTAAAATCAACACCAGTACTAGTTGCATTGTATGTGATAGTTTAGTCGAGTACAACATTGAGCAAAAAGGCTTCAATTATCACCATCAGTTTTCAGCATATAAACAAAACCAGAAAAAACGATTTCAAAATCGATTTTCAGCAGAAAATGAAAAAATCGATTGCACTTAAACATATTCAAATCAAAACTCGATTTCACGCCTGTCAAATCAAAAGCACTCCGCATAAACAACACCATAAAAGTCAATTTCACCATATGCTATCGACATGTTCTTGATTATAAAAAATTGTCACTTAATATCTGGATGTTATCAACAGATGTTATCTACACAGAAATAAGACTGTCTTCAACAAAATAAGCCACATCCACTTTTCGACAGACAAAAAAGAACCAGGGTAACAAAATAACAAGATCCAATACAGTAGGTTCGAAGTGTTGGTAACCCCGTTGTTGGAAACATAGTCGACTAAAAGAACAGAAGAGGAAATCGAAAAAATCTAAAACAATGGTCGAATCCAGAAGAGGAATTTCAAAAAATACCTTACCTGAGACGAAGAGGAAGATTGCTGCCGAAATCGATAGTTGCAATCCCAGTTGCCGGAGTCGATGCTCGATCGTTGCTGACTTGCTTCAATGGTTCGATCGTTGTTGACTTGCTTCAATGATTCGATCTTTGGCTCATGGCTGCTTCAGTCGTCAGTAAACGAAGGCTAAAGGGGGGCTAGGGCTTTTTAGAACACAAAACACAATGAAAGAAATGCGGTGAAGCAACTGGGAAGGGTGGGAACGACCCTATTCTTTTGGATTTGTATTTTTTTTTTTTTTAAAATGAAATATATATTCCATTAATAATAATATTTTAATGTTGCGATGCGATTCGGTTAATTTGCGGTTTTTTTAAGATATAACCGCATTGCACCGAAAAATTGCGGTTTTTTTATTTTCTAAAACCGTACCATCGGTGATATGTTCGGTTTCAGTTTTTCGGTTATTTTGCAGTTATTCGGTTTGCGGTTCGGTTTTTGCTCACCCCTAATTCTTGGGTTATCTTTTTCCTCAAAAGTATTAATATTTTGTTCGTTTCTATAGTGTCATTCAACCACGCACAAATGAGTAATACTTTTTGTTCGCTAAAGATTTGCATGGTCATCTGTTTCTATATATTTGAATTTGGAGGTTTATACCTTGGTGTAATTGTCTAATTTTTACAATGTGACTTTTTGGGTCCGAAATGTTGATCATTCGTTATGGTCTCGATTCAATTGTGTTTCCATGCAACAAGACATGAGTATCTTATTTTCAAGTCAATACGGATTGTTGGTGTTCCGTTTACCCTTCTTGCAATACTCTATATAATTAAGAATAACGCTAACCTACAAGAAGAAAAACATATTGCCTATATAGTGATCTCCGAATGAAAATGAATACAATCACTCTAAAAAAATCTTAATATTGCAAAGAATGCCCCCCCCCTCCCCACACACACACATACACACACACACACACATATATATATATATATATGTGTGTGTGTGTGTGAGAGAGAGAGAGAGAGAGATTCTAATGTGGGATGACTTTTATGTGATGAGATCATATTTAGAATATGTAGAAATTTGCTATATTTTAAGAATAAATATGTTGCTTTATAATAAATGTGCTATAACTTATTTACTAAATAATAATTATCTTACATTAATCTATAAACGATGGCTAGATAATGAACTATTATATTACATCACATAATAAAGCTTGATAATGGTTGATAATGGTTTTTAGGCTAGCTTTGTCCTCCTAGGTATTAACGTTTTGTTCATCTTTGTTGTGCCGTTCAATCATGCATAAATAAGTAAAACAAATTGTTCGCTAAAGGTGTAACACTCGGTTATTTCAACTAAATTTTCATCCTTATTTAAAAGCTTAAGTGTTTGGGAGTTTGGTCCTACATAGGACGTAAGGTAATGTCCTATACAACGCGTATGAGGGAATCATATTACGAGGATTAAATGATCTATGCGGGACATAGATCAAGTTACACAGCACGTAGTTGCCCATGACCGAAACCCTGATCTTGGACATTTAAGCTCTATTTAAGGGTTCTAACTCCCTTGAGGCCTTTCAATCATCAGCCTCCACCTCCTAAACGACCCTTTTGAAACCTTAATCCCCTTTTTGAGAGTTTTGAGCATTGAGTGTGTTTTGTGTTTACTTGTGAAGGAAGAATAAGATTATGGAACCACTTAGGAGCTCAACCCCAACTTAGATCCAGAAGTTTCATCCCCTCAACCATCTCCAGAAGGTGTAAAGTTCCTATCTTGATGAGTTTTTATGTTAGATCTAGCTATGCTTAGGATTTCATGCATTTATCCCCATATTCATAGTGTATATGAGTAAGTGTTGCTCCAGACCATTAAAGTGTCATTTCTAAACGTTTTTAGGGTTGCTAAATCATAAAAATGAGAGCTCGAACACTCTCATCCTCCCATGCATGAGATTTTGAGCAATTGAAGGCTTATTTGACATAGGGTTTATGTAACATCCGGGTTCTCAGGTATCTTATTTTGTGCATTTATATTGAGTTTTAGAGAGGGACTCGGCGAGTATGCGCTCAGACTCGCCGAGTAGGATTGTGCATGGTCGGACTGATTTAATGGCGGACTCGGCGAGTCCACGCTGTTTAATGAAACCTTAATTCTCCGGGGCCTGAGCCCTATTTAAGGACCTTTTAGCCACCATTTGTGGCTATCAAACCCATGAGAAACCCTAGAGAGCATAGAGAATGCTTGTAGTGCAAGAGGATGGTTATTTCATCATTCTAAGTGTGATTTTTGCAAGAAAGAAGGAAGGAGTACAAACAAGGAAGGTTGAGGAGCTCATATTTATCATCTATTCATCAGATGAGGCTACTATAGGTACTAATATGTGCTTAAACTCGTGTATTTGGTGTTCTAGTTGAATCTAGAGTTTCCTTGTGCATTCTTTGGATTGGATTCGAAGTATGCGAGGTCCCAATGTGGGGTTCTTCTTAGATCTGGACCTTAAGAGGTCCAGAGAGTCCCATTCACATTGCTTTTTGCTACCCCATTAGAGATATGGCCCTAGGTTGCCATTTTAGGGGTTATTTCACCCAAATAAGCTTTTTGGTCATTGCATGAGTGTAAAGGTCAGACCTTTACGTGATTATAGTGGTTGGTAAGGCTAGATCTATGGACTGGAGGAACAAATTTGACCTCATGAGGTCATTTGAGTTTGAGCATGGCATGAACTCACCGAGTCCAAGAACAGACTCGACGAGTAGGATAGTTTTCCCCCATGAATCACACAGTTGGTGACTCGCTGAGTTGGGGAAGTGACTCGGTGAGTCATTCGGGATTTTGAGGACTCGAGTTCATGACTGAACTCGTCGAGTCACAATTGTGCCCTCAACGAGTCTGATCAAAGGGTTGACCGTTGACTTTTGTTGACTTTTAGGGTTTGGTCAACAATTGGACCTGGGAACTGTTTGAAGGGTAAAATGGCCTTTTAGCTTTCTTATAGGACGTGTGAGGATTTAGTTTAGTCTGGAGAGTTGTTATTAATTGAGATGATCGTTTATGTGTTTAGGCAGAGGCTAGATCAGTGTTACGCAAGCGAGATATTACCGAGACATCCGAGGTGTGTCTTCTCACTATACTTTACCTTGCGTAGGTAACAGAGTTATGTGATATAGTACCTTGTATACTATCTATGTGATGTGTTGCACTACATTATTTTTATGTGATTTATGCTGTGAGTATATTAGAGTTAGGACCGGAAGGTCCACAGAGTTAGGGCCGAAGGTCCTACCAGAGCTATAGCCTTAAGTGGCTAATATGTGCTATATGTGGTATGTTGGGGAACTCACTAAGCTTCGTGCTTACATTGTTCGTGTTATGTGTTTCAAGTACTAGTAAGGATCGCGGGAAGGCGCCGGCATGATCAATACACACACGCGGAGCTTATTTATATGTTTTGATCTTGGGATTTTGACTTATGTGGAATATAAGAAACCATGTGTTTTATAATATTGTGAATAAAATTGTTCTTTAAAATGTGAAAATTTGTTTGAAATTTTTCGGTGTTACAGTTTGGATAAATGCGCTTTGTATGCAAGCAAATTGATAAAGTCGGAGACTTTATCCATTAAGACGTCCATCTGGTTTATATCTGGAAGTTTGGTGGTTTAACTTTCTATATTAAGCACTTAATGAGAAAGGTGATCAACAACGTACTACACATGGCTTAGTTTTGGTTACACAACTTATTTTTTTAACATGAAAGATCTTACTGTTTGTTTTTGTTGAGCTTTTGGTCTTTCTCTTACTTAAAAAACTATTTTCTTTTGATTTTTTAATTTATTGTCCCTACTGTTTGTTTTTGTTACGCGTTTGGTCATTATTTTATTTAAAAAACTATTTTTCCCTTGATTTTTTAATTTATTTAAATAAACACACCCTCAACCCACCTCCTCACCTTACCTTATTTACACCCCTACTTTTCCTAATCTAAATAATAGTTTTTTTTAGGTAAGATAGGGACCAAACGTATAATAAAAATAAACATTAATAACCAAACGCGTAATAAAAACAAACATTAAAAACTTTCCAATTAAAAAAAATAAACTAGGGACCTAACGTACAAATTACTCCAAACCATAGTAGCAAGTGGAATTTACTTTTTAAGTAAATTATCCGTAACATATTCCCTGAAACCAACTAGTTTCTTTTCCGGTTTTTGTTTTGCGTTTTAATACTAGAGTGTATGTACACAACAAATTTTCTATTATTAAAATTATCGAATTTCTTTTTATAACTTGACCCAAGACACTCGGGCCCAAATCGTCCTAATCCAACCCAAGTTTTTTTCTTTTTCGTTTAAATAACACAAAACCCTAAATCCACCCTACCTGCCATCGGACATAACTTTTGCGATAGAGTGAGAGAGAGGAGGAAGAAGGAAAACGCAGCCATGGTAATGAATCTCTATTTCGCAATTGATCTGTGAGTCTTTGGAGTTACTTGTTAAAACGTCGTGGATTGTCTTTGATTGAAGCTTGTAAACATAACGTAATGATTCGAGTAGATTGGAATTGTTAAAATTAGCGACATTTTATTTCAGTCCTATGTATCTGTGATCTTTAGGAAAGTTTTCCTTTTGTGAATTATAGATGAAGTGAAATATAGTAGCTATATGTGATTTTAGGCACATATTCGTTAGATTATATCGTAAAAATGTTTTGGTCTCGACATACATTACATACGCGAGGCAGCTAATTGGTTGAATATAGATATTTTGTGTATCTAGGATATCTTTGCATCATCTTCTAAATTTACTTCATGTCATTGCATTTATAATAAGAACACAAACAGGTGATCAGTCTATGGGTTCGGGTAAATTGGTCTCTTTTAGGGAACTAATGTAGTTGTTCATCCTTTAACAGATACCCCTTGAAAAGGAATTATTCGTTATTAATTAATATCTGATTGTGGTGTTTTGTTTGATTTTGATAGTCTAAAAGAAAGGTTCGGGAACCAAAGGAAGAAAATGTCACTCTTGGACCTGCTACTCGTGAAGGAGAGCTTGTATTTGGTGTAGCACACATCTTTGCATCCTTCAATGACACCTTCATTGTAATAAGCAATGGTTTATATGATTTCTTTGTTTTCAAGATTAGTATTTGTATGGATGTATAATGTGTCTATTCTTTTTGTGTGTTTTGCAGCATGTGACTGATATCTCTGGAAGGGAAACCATGGTGCGGATTACAGGTATCATCATCATCATCATCATCATCATCATCATCATCATCATCATCAATTTCTAGCTGCAAATAATATTTTTTACTTATTTTGTATATGTATACCAGGTGGGATGAAGGTGAAGGCTGACAGGGATGAGTCGTCACCCTATGCAGCTATGCTTGCAGCACAGGATGTCTCCCAAAGATGCAAGGTTTATTTTCTTTTTTCAGTTCTTTAAATCAAGAATTGCAAAATGCTTAAAAGGTTTTTTGGTTGATTTATGATTTATAGGAACTTGGCATAAATGCTCTTCACATAAAGTTGAGGGCAACTGGAGGTAACAAGACAAAGACACCTGGCCCAGGTGCCCAATCTGCCCTCAGAGCTCTTGCTCGTTCTGGCATGAAGATTGGTCGCATAGGTAAATAAATATATTCCAAATTAAATTATGTTTTGGCGGATGGAACGGAATCTGAGATTACATTCCATGTTTTTTCTTTTCTGTGATTGCAGAGGATGTGACTCCAATTCCTACAGATAGTACACGTAGAAAGGGTGGAAGAAGGGGAAGGAGGTTGTGATGTGATGTGGGTATATGCAGCAGCTGTGTATTCAAATGGGTTTATGTTGGGCCA